AATAAACATACAGTATCGGACATATCATTTGCAGCAAAATTCGAAACGATATTGCTTGCCATTTACCTTTACTAATTTATTTTTAAGAAATTTTCTTTAAATGCAGTTTGATCCTGTTGCACTTAAATAAAGGTTTCGAAGATTGCACAAAGTACACAAAAACAAATCGAACTTCAAAAAATTTTCTCGAACATTTCAAACTTTTTATTCAGAATTTTTAGAAAACATTCGAGTATGCAGTTTTTTACCCCATTAAAGTTTAGTATAATAAAGCACAAGTTTCAAGTCCCTAAAAATTATTGTTGATTTTTTAGAATTTTTGTCGAGGGTGTTGCGCATTTCTTTTATATAAAAAAATAATTGAAATTGAATTTGTTACAAAACTGCAAACTTGAAAATTTTCTAAGGATTCTGAATAAAAGGTTTGAAATTCGTATGAAGTCTGATTCATTTTTGTGAATTTTGTACAGTCTTTGAAAGTTTTATTTATGTGGTTTCTGTTATAGATCGAACTATGAATACTTGGAATGAAAATAGAAATGAATAAATATACATATCAAGGCCTTATAATCAATACAGAGGGTATCTGCAATTTATACAAAAACTACTTTGCTATGCTAGAACCCATCTGGGATGATAATTCTGTTGTTGCGTACTGCTTCACAGCATGTTGCGTCACTCTTTCCTCAAGAAATAATGGTTCGGGCATTAAAGTGAGATTTCGTTAAAGAGAATTCAATCGTACAAAAGTTTGTGAGCAAGTTGAATTCTTTCATAGTCCTTAGAATGGGAGAGTTAGAAGCATAAGTAGTTCTTACTCGTTCAAGAAAAAAGATATAATGATTTTGAAGGCCTCTAACGGGAATATTGAATATTTCTGTTGCAAACATGGGTTGCCTTGTGCTCCTTTTTCTCAAAATACTTTGGAAAACCGTAGTAAAATGCGTAGCAAATTTCTTAAGAACTGCGTACTGCCTTAAGGAAATTTGACACAAGAAAATTTCTTAGCCATTTCTTGTACGTCATTTTTTATAGAGAGTTTTTGCTTTTCTTGAGAGCTGCATAGTGGCCGTTAATAGTAAATTCTTCTGGCAAGCGTTATACAAGTCAGCATTAATATCACCGATGACAGTTAAGTCTTGGGTGGACTTTTTCAGAATCTTATTTTTGTAAAAAGTACAGATAGAGGATACTGAATATATATAAGCCCTCGATATGTAAGTGGTAAACAATATCATTTTGAATTTGGTTGCAAATAATATGTCCGATACTGTACATACATTATCTATGGATGAATCTGAGTATGCCTACACATATGCAACTTATGTATGCCCATTAGTATGTTTGTGGAAATTGTTAACGCTCGGCAACGTAATAAAAAGTGCACTTTAACAATGCGTCTTAGACAGTCTAACACTGCGGAAATTATTTTGTGGTCTAAATACCTACACACAATCCACTATGGTCGTGCATAAATATGTATGTACATTAGGGTGGCCCAAAAATACACGTGGAAAAGTAAAGTCGGAATTTTTATGCTCTCACCCTCTACGTTTTTTAATTTAAACTATTTTTTCTTTTTTTCTTTTGTATATTTCTGTTTGTATATTTGATTTTTTTGGGATATTTCGGAGACCCTTAAAAAATAGTTAAAATTAAAAAATGTTTAAATAAACAATTGGGCATTATTCTCTGAAGTCTTCTGAAGAGAAGCAGAGTTTTCAGATTGAAAAATTTTGATTTCGATGGATTCTATGCCATTTCTACGAAAAGTCTTTTTTTCCCCATACAAAATACATTGGAAACTTTGAGCGCTTTGAGCGACCTCTAAATATATTTTGATTTTAAAATAAAAAACAGGGGTATATTTTTTTTTCGGTATAGATCAATCCTAGGGGGTGAGAGCATGAAATTTCCGACTTTACTTTTTTTTACCACCCTAATGTACATCCATGTATGTATATTCATATTTATACGTACATATGCATGTGTGCATGCACTCACCTGACCGGCTAGAATGAATTGAACTATGCACATATGTATGTATGTATGTATGTATGTAGAACAACCACAAAGCGCATACATCCTTTTAGCTTTTGCATATAAAATTACAAACTGACAAGTAATTGTTGATAACATAACTTGACTTGTGTGGTTATGAATGTTTCAGAAATCGAAAAAAAATAACAAACAAATTTTTTTTTTAATTGCTATTAAAGACGGCTAGAGGAGCGTACCATCCGATAAGATCCCGGCAATGATTGTAAAAGACTTTACACTCGTTTTGAGGTTTGCCAATTTTTTATTTGATTATCACGAATAGTTTCCTTTTATAAAGTCTGTTCCAGTTACTTCAGGATTCGCAAGTTTTTAGAGGAAGCTGTTCCCGTACGCCACCTGCCATAAGGTTTTATAATGGCGAAAACAGATAAAACCTGCAGATCTTGAAGTATTCTTCCAAGTACTTATGTATATACTTATAATTTGCACCTTCTCTCTCTTATAAGACCACTGCTACTGTGCCTAGTTTTTCGAAATTTAGTACGCATATTTTACAGGTATTAGGTCATTACGTAGTGAAATTTATTTAATTTACAGGCTTATTCTACACTGGCAACGAACATTTTTTAACCGTCAAATAAAGATAATGTAAATTTTTAGACCCTCCTCAAAAATACTTTCGACATAAACCTTCTTAAACCCCTTCGGTTTGATACCTATATTGCAATATTAAATTTATCTTATCAATTACATTAAATTAAAATTTTCAAACTGGTGGCAACTTTCCACAAAAATATTTTCGGCTGTAAGTCTTATTAAACCTCTTTCTTTTCACCGCCATATTGGAATATTTACTTTATCTTATCACTTTACTCAAACTGCAATTTTCAAAAAGGTGGCAACTCTCTTTGTTTTTCTTTGTGTATTAAGTTAGACCTCTAGAAATACATCGGTCGCAACTAGTCTCATACGGGTACTATTGGAGATCAATTAGTCCCCGACTCATTTCTAACGGGTACTATTAACGATTTAATGATATCTACGCACTTAGTCAATGAAATTTCATGTGTGGCGTTGGCACAGGCACAGTAAGGGAGTATTGGCTTAACAATTCGCATCGCAGCTGGTGCAAATTTGTATTTTTATTTTTTAAAAGTGACTAGTCGCCTTTTGTTGCCGTTCGGGTATAAAGGGGAGCAATTAGTCTCTTCATGGGCCATGCTCGAACAAAAGCGAACAGTTCAATCCATATAAGGAGAACAAAAGTGGTTATTAGTCGCACGTTCCTTTGCGATTGCTCCCGGAGTCATCCCGGATTAGTCGCATTTCGCGGCCATTGAATTGAATATTTACCAAATTTCGTTGGCGTGTATCGTAAGATCAATTACTTTTCTATTTGATTTTAATATTTTTTCCCTCAGTGTATGTGGAACGATTGTAAGCGTAGATGGGGCTCCCCCATCCAATTCATTTTATTCAAATTTCGCTTGACGTTGAAAAAATAACATTTTCGTCAAGTTGAAATTCGATATATGTACAGTGAGGAGCGTAAATGTAAAAATGGTAATTTTTTTTGATATTAATATGTTTTTCATATAAAAACTGAAGGCGAATTTCAACATACCTACACATTAGCGATACCAGCCTTAAAAATTGTGCAACTATTATCAATTATCAACTAAAGTATTTATACCGTTTACCTGCACTGGCTCTACACTTACCCTAATTTTGCAAGCTTTTCTTTATTTTGCTTATCTCGCAGAACAACAAAAATGGCTATAATTTTATGTACTCATATAGAGAGACCATTCGGGAAAAATTTCGCTTGCAGTTATTTTCTACGTGGTAAGTGCTCCTCAATCACTGGGTTTCATAGGGATTCGGATGCCTTCCTCATTGAAGTAGCAAAGAGAATTCGCTTAAATGCTTTTTCGGTTATGCAAAATATACTATACATGTAAGTTTTTGTTTTTGTACTCCGGCTGTTGCCTTAGTTCGTTGACATTTGATATTTGATTTAAATACTGTCCATACTATAGCTAAAATAGCTTTAATCAAAGTCTAAACCAAAGAAAGAATTCTCCAAATGTTCAAACTTTTAGATATGAATTTATATAACACTTCTGAGCATGCAGAGCAAAGTGTAAGTTTGAAGACTCTGCGAAATCGCGTTGATTTGTTACTTTTTTTCTTCTGGCCTTTTACATGTAACAAATGAATGATGTTGTAAAGGCAGTGTCACACGATTCCAAATTTGCATTAAGTTTAGTGCAAATAGTATCCCAATCGTGTGAATGCACAAATATTGTACCAATCATGTGACCACATACAAAAAAAATTGTTGTCCCAATTTTTCTATTTTATACCAATAGCCCAATATAAAAAATGTACAAATCTGTACAAATGTACCAATCGTGTGACACTGCTTTAAGAGCAAGTTTCTTGAATACTTCTAAAAACAAAAAATTGGAGAAAACCATATGAAATGCGCTTATGTATGTATGTATGTATGTGCATTATTAAAAACATTTGCTTTTTATTTCTGTAAAATTATAATCTTGTCGTGACCATTCAAATATACGGTACGCCAATTTGCGCAAATTTAGTGTAATTTGGTTTCCAAATTATCTTACGCATTTTATTCCACATGCCGAGTCTCCGCTTTCGCTGGAGAAATCTAAAATTATTTCTAGGTTGCTTATAAGACTTTTAGCAGTACTTGTTGAAGGCCCATCAATGTTGCTTGATATACTACTTAACCGAATGCGAATGTGTAAAATTATGAGAATCATTCGCATAACGAATGCGAATGCAAATATTCGCAACATCGCTGATGTGTACGTACATAAATAAATGTATCTAATACATTGTAGGTTTGTGGCCTAAGTCTTTCGTTTTAGCTCATAGATTATGTGCATGTTTTTCAGTGGATACATACTTTTTTTTATCAGCATTATAGTTTCTTGTAAGAATTTATTTTCTATTTTATAAATCTACAGGTGAAAAAGATGAAGATGCTTACAGTAGCAAAAGTGAGGGTTTAATGAGTCTGTCAAAGAAACAACGAAAAGCACGCACAGCATTTACGGACCATCAATTGCAGACTTTGGAAAAGTCATTCGAAAGGCAAAAGTATTTAAGTGTGCAGGACCGAATGGAGTTAGCCAACAAACTGGAGTTGAGTGATTGCCAAGTAAAGACATGGTACCAAAATCGCAGGTAAGTTTGTGCCCTCAAATCAGTAAAAATTGTTACGCAGTATAAGTTTAAGACACGAATTAAAATCAAAATCCTGACGAACAAAATATTTATAAATATATTTCATTTAAAGTACATACATACACATGTACATATGTAAGACACTCTTAGTAACTATATACACGAAATGTAACATTGTTTTTATTTTCCAATTAAAGCTTACGAATATTCATACTTAAAAAAGAATTCAATTCTGTCAAAGGTCACGCGGCGATTTTTCCTTCTCCGAGGTACTTAAATATTTCTAAACTGCTGCATATGAAAATATACAACTTGCTCAACTTAATGTATCCGCCGCTTTCTTGGCTTTTCAGGAGCTACCATGACAGATTCAATTATGTACATAAGGGCGGGCCCATTCGCATGGAACGCTTTTTCGACATCGTTCCAAGCAGATTCGGATTCTACATAGAATTCAAAGAAAAGAAGTGAAGTGCTATTGATTTCAGGTATTGAACTGAATCACGTTTTCTTATCGTCTTCTGGTCTTGCTTGCCATTTGTATGTATTGGTATACTCTAAACAATTTTTGTTTTAATTTACGCATACTAAGAGAGGGAGCCAGACCAATCGCTGGCACTTGGTCCATGAAACGTTTGTTTAAATGAGCTATGGCCAGAGCTTCTATCAAAATCCAACATAGATTGCGAGCAAAAATTTGATAATTCTGTTTCACATTAAGTTACAATGGGCACGTACAGAAGGCGCAACAGCTCAGTAACTGTTGCGATTGCACCTTCTGAACGCGTTATTTTGTACTTGTGATTAACTGCACAGTTGCTTGTTAGATGATCGTAATATTTTTCTGATCATTTGAGACAACATGTTGTGTGTTGTTGAATTTGACAGCTAATGTATCAAGCCGTTCAGAAGACACATTACGAACAGTGCTGTATTTTAATTTATTGAAAAAACTTAAAAATTAATAAATAGACATAAGTGGCAAATAATATCATTTTGAATTCGGTCCAAAATGATATGTCTAACTTTAACTTTTTAAAGAATTTAATTTTTGTAAAAATTACATACCATTGCATTATCTATTTTTTTAATAAAGTTTTTCTTTATTTGTTTATGTATTTAAATAATGCTACGATCTTGGTTTTAAATTATGTATACTTCGTTAAATGTTCATGTGTTATACAAGTATTTACACATTTATGTAAGTTAACAAGAAGATGTATCGACATAAATAATTATGTTCGCTTAAGTACCCGCATCGAGGTACTTAAGCGGGTTCTTTTAAGTACCCAACCCGCCGAAGTACCTCAAAAAGCTGACATTTTTCGTGAGGTACTTAAGCGGGTTGTACTGTTTTTCTGATATTTATTTTACATATCCAAATTTTTGATTTTTATCCAAACAGTGTAAAAACAACAGTTATTTTAAATTTTTATATTATATGTTTTAGATAACAGTTACTGAAGACTTTTATTTATAAAAGGTATCAATAAATATCAATTAGTGACTTTTACTTACAAAAGTCATCAATAAAGCTCCAAACTTACCAAGATTTAGCAACAATAAACTGAAAAAAAAACAAATATTTAAATCTTAATATTCCATAAAACTCACCAGAAAAGTGCCTATACCATTAAATGATAAATATCTTCTTAAAGAAAATGTATTATACTTTCTTTAAAGTCAATCAAATTACCTTTCATCTGATAGTAAACTTATAGATTTAGATAGAACTAAAGATATCTGCGACCGTGGTATTACCTATTGAGAGGGTGAGACTGAAAAAAACCATTCATTTGATTTTTTAAGGACCACCCTAATATAAATATAAATTCGAAGTAATCGAAGTTCCACTGAAGATAACGACGAACTTTACTAACACTTTCAATTTCAAATCTGCCCAGTTTTCATTACTAATACAAATTCTTACCAATAATTCGACTATTCAAACCATGTTTTGTTTTCTGATTTTTAATGGCTGCATTTCTTTATTCATTCTGAACGTTTGGAATAAACTTTTTTGTTTATTTATTCTTTAGAACGTTCCTGATGAAATGCTGTATGTATTTCAAAAGCATTCTGTTTATTCCGGTTGTGAAATGGAATTATCCGGAATGTATAAAGAAACGCGGCCAATGTGTGAAGGATTATAAAAATAAAATTTGATTCGCTATGAAATGATTTATACTTTAAACATTACAAAACTAATTATCTGACAATACAATCTCTAAACTTACTTTCTTTAAAAAATTTGTCCAAATCAATTGTCATTTCAAAATTCGAGATTCGTAATCAGCGGTCCCGAAAACCCCACAATACCCTATTTTGATAAAGTTTATCGATCTCGTCATTTTTGTGCTCGCCATATTAGATCCGCCCGTAAGTCTTTGCATACCATTTTGAGCTCAAAAATATATAAAAACAAAGTGGTCTCAAATTGTGTTAAAGTGTCTCTGAGCAAATTGTTTTTTTCGCAACATCATCATGGGCATGGCCAGTTAGGGGCAGGGGGTCCCTTCCTTTCAAGTTTTCCCTGTATATATAATAGTACCCTGAAATGCTAGCATAATAGTTGCGAGCCCTACCCTAAATTTTATTCTGGCTACGCCGATGTGCAACAAGTTAAAATGATAAAACCACTTTTTGTTTATGTTTTCGAACTATAAAAAGCGTCTATGAAGTGCAGATTGAAACCGTATTCAAACGAAAATATGGCCAAACAAATATTTTGTTTAATGTAATAAAAACAGATCGCTTGACGCCAAATAATGTGTTTTAGTTTGAAACAAATAATACCATTTTTTTTCTCAGTGTGGATATTGTGTAGCATTTTAAAATACAGCGGCTCCGCTGGCTTAGCTATGTCGTTCGAATGGGCACAGACCCTGCGTTGAAAAGACCAGGCGAAGAAGGACTCTGCTTCACTTGGCATTTCCAATTGGCGTCAGGTGGCAAAGAAGAGAAACTTGGCCAAAATCGGTTAGGCGGTTACAGTGCGAATACCGAAGGAGAAGCTATTAAAAGTTGCGCTTAAATATGTTTTTTCATGTACATAAATACATGAAATTATAGACATATTCACACACACACATACACTTATGTTGTGATTTATTTGGCGTAAGTGCAGATGCTGCAATGTATTCAACAATCATAAATGACTTGGATGACTTAACAGTTAAAGTTGTGTATGTGGATATGGAAGCCTTATGTTTTAATTTACTCATGGTTCAAAAACTATAAACCTGAAAATTCCGTCGCCACTTATTTCACAAAATCATGTCGAAGCCGATGACAGATGATTAATGACACTGAAATCTATTCCGTCGGTATTAAACTCTCGCAGTGCATCGTCGTCGCCAAGGGAGGTTCTATAGTTTTATTACATGTACGAGTATGCTTAGCTTGGCTTCGCATAAATCTCCGAAGCGAATTTTTTAATAGCGGAACACAGTGGAGCCAGAGTGAAATGCACCACAAACCATAACGAATGGAAAAGTGTGCTCTTTGCAATTACCTCGCTTAAGTGCTCAATGAGTGTTTTCAACATTAGTCACGTTGGTTCAAACGGATATCATACTGACAATGATACAGGCGTTTGTACAATGCAAAGTTTATTAAATGACTTTCAATATTTACTTCATCATTCGGGAAGATTTACGAATATGCAACTGTTTAATTGTAAAATAACATACAAATGTACATACATACATATATGCATATACGTCTTCAATAAATTTTGTTGATTTGACTATCAAAAATATGAAATATTTAGGTACTACATGTAATTTAAAATATCGGATTGAAAACTTGTAAGAAACATACAACTTCATTAATTGGGATCGAAATATATTTAGAAAGGATAAATTGAAAATATAAACTAAAATCCCGATTTTGGCAACTTAAAAATTCTGTTAAACGAGTGTTGCTTATAATTGAACAGCCGAAACTTAACGTAACTTAATAGTACGTCGAAATCTGTTTCATTTTGATTCTCTGAGTTCTACGTTTCGTTAGGTTAAGTTAAGTTGACATAATCAGGCTTGACTTACCTAGAAACTTAAAAACGATTACTCTCCGTGTCATCTATTGCTTTTTCTCTTTTTTTTATCCTCAGTAATTGTATTTGTGCATGCAAAATTTTAAACGTTTAATTTGTTTGGGGTGGGGTAAAATTGAATAAAAATTACAACTGAAATAAATGTATTTAAGCGTTTAAAATTGTGATTGTTTTTATTTTATTTTCCATCTTTATTTGAAAGTTTGTTTTTCGACTGCCAGGTGCATTGCATTTATACAAGAAATCATGTTTAATCAAATTTAATTAAAAATATGTGAAGAAATGATGTGGCAGCCTGATTCTCACCAGGCTTTCTTTGCACTTAGAAATTTAACTTAGAAATCAAAAATCTATAGTTCTCCAAGTTTCTAAGTAAAGTTGTTTTTTGGGTAACTACATACACGTGCTGCTCATTTGCCAGATATGCAATTTTCAAGACAAGTCAAGTCTAAGTCTTGCTTAACTCAGCCTTATTAATTCAAATTCATAAACAATTTGATTTTCCAAAAAAAAAAAAGAATTTCATTTGATTTCTCTATCTTTTCATGCACAACAGCGATTGTGAAGCGAGCGTTCAGTACATTTCGTAAATTAAGAACATGGCTGACGGTGGTCCTCGACCATCTTTAACCCTGACGAGCTTGCACCTCCGATTTTTTATCCCATACGGTTCAGGAATACTTCCCAAGTATATTCCTATAACACATAAAATCGAAAAGTGGGCACTTTTTTAAAATCGATTTTTCAAAAAAATGTATTGTTCTTCGAACATTCGGAAGTAAAGTTTATCAAATTTTATTTCACATAGAATCATATAAGAGATGCAACATTTTACATTATTAATACATTCCTAAGCATATAATAAAAATGTGTTATGAAACATAAAAATCACGAACACAAGAAATAATAATAATACTTTTACTTCGCATGTGGAAAAATGGCAGCTGGTTATAATGTTTTTTTACATGTAAAACTACAAGTTATGCATGGAGTCAGAACAGCGATAACTATGTTTAACCGGGGAGTTAGTGTTAACCATAGATAGAGAAACCGGCCCTTAGATTTCTACCAGCTAGCAGGCAATGGAAGCTGATCATTACGACATTTCTGCATCTTGGCCTAAGTATAGGGTACCAAAAAAATGATCCTGATTATGCCAAAAATTACTCAGCGCATTCTGCGAATATAATTCACATCACATTTAGAATATCATATGTTTAAACTTTACTAAACAGTGTCTGTTTGTCCGTCACTATTTATAGCCATTCTAAATCGTCGTTGGTTCTTAGTTAGGTACGTCTTAGCGGACCCTATTCTTTAGTGTAACCAGTAGTTGCTGTTCTATGTGTACATTAGGGTGGTCCATCATCAGGTGGTAACCCTCTTCGATTGATACCCATCTTTTAAAAATCCATTTAACTTATTAAATAATTTTAAATACATTTTTAAACAGGTGGCAACCCTCTTCCAGCACCTCGAAAATATTATAATAGGATTGTTCTGTATCGAAAGAAAGTATACCCATATTTTTATATTTTCAAATCAATAAATATTTAAAGGTCGCTCAAAGCGCCCCAACTTTTCCATGTATTTTGTATGAAAAAAAAAAACACTTTTCGTGGAAATGGTATGGAATTCTTGAAAATATTTTTCAATCGGAAGACTGAGAAACAGAGATTCCCAATAATAAAACCGAATTATTTTTTTTTACAATTTTTTCTTAGTAACTTTATTTTCTAGGACCGCCAAAACCCCTAGAAAATGCCCGAAAATGCAATGGAGGATCAATAAAAAATCTTCATTATTAAAAAATGGAGAACCAGAGTTTTCCGATCAAAAAATATTGATTTTCAAGAATTCCATACCATTTCCACGAAAAGTGTTTTTTTTCCATATAAAATACATGGAAAAGTTGGGGCGCCTTGAGCGACCTCTAAATATTTATTGATTTGAAAATAAAAAAAGGGGTATACTTTTTTTTCGATATAGAACAATCCTAGGGGGTGAGAGCATTAAAATTCCGACTTTACTTATTTTGGACCACCCTAATGTGTATACATATAGTAGCCGCCATCGATTCGCCACTTCTCGCTCGCTATGTTTGAGTTCCGGTCGCTTAAAGAAGAATTTTGCATGTGAAAGCAACAACAAAGTTAGCTAGCACGGATAGACGAAAGCGAGTTTGGTTGTACCTCATTGAGTTCATTCGTTTCGCCACTCGCTAACTGTTGGCGAATCGATGACGGCTAGTATGAACATATATGTAAGTATGTCGATAGACTTAGAAAATAATTTAAAATTTGCCGAAAATCTGAGTCGAATATTACTAAATAGTAGGGATGCCAAAATATGAGGAAAATTGTGATCCCGGGATTCCGGGATATTTTTCCAGTAAACCCGGGACTCACATTGAGTCATAACTGTTATGAATATGAGTAAAAATTCAATATATAAAAGCATTTTAACATACCATGAAATAAAATTATTTAAAACTTACGATAAACTGTTTGTAAAACTCACATATTTATTAAATGAGACAAATCTAAAAGTTATAAATTTTTATGGCCTTATTCATTAAAAATAAAGTAGCTTTATAAAAGGTTTATAAATTGAAAAATGTATGAAAACGTCAATTTATAAAGCTCTTTAAACCTACTTTATTTTTTATGAATAAGGCCATTAAACTGTATTTAAAAAACCATGTGATTGAGGAACGCATACATCACACAAAACAATGGAAATACCAGGTATTTTTGAAAGTAATGATTAATAAAAAAAAAAATTTAACAAAAACATACAAAAACAAATTCTCTAAACATGTTTATTTTACTCTATACAGAAATGGCGAATATTTTGCAATTTTTGTCCCAATTTACTCCAAATTTTGAGGGTGATCGAGTCAAACGGACCTCAGATTCGGATTCACCAGGTCGAGAAGCATGTCGGTAGGTGGGTCTGGTTAGAAGCACACACCTCTTTTTTCTGCCGGTGTTGTTATTACTCCTTCTTCTTCTTTGTTCTTTTCTCTCGAAAGCTCCAAGAGCCGCCTCATCAGATACTTTCATTGTCCATGCCTCCGCGCCATACACCAGCACAGGCATGATGAGTGACTTATAGAGTGTGATCTTTGTACGACGAGAGAGGACTTTACTTCTCAATTGCCTACTCAGCCCAAAGTAGCACTTGTTGGCAAGAGTGATTCTCCGTTGGATTTCAAGGTTGGCATTATTATTGGTGTTAATGCTGGTTCCCAAATAAACGAAGTCAGTGACGTGGGTGCCAAGACGCGTATGCTCTGACTGTTTGTGTGATGACAGGAGATACTTCGTTTTGTCCTCGTTCACCACCAGACCCATTCGCTTTACTTCTCTATCCAATCTCGACAAGGCAGAACAGACGTAGCGCTTGTTTTTACCGATAATATCGATGTCGTCGGCATACGCCAGCAATTATACGCTCTTGTAAAGTATTGTGTCTGAGCGGTTCAGTTCTGCGACTCCTATTTTCTTCTCCAACATCAGATTAAAGAAATCACACGAAAGGGAGTCCCCCTGTCTGAAACCTCGTTTGGTTTCAAACGGCTCGGTGAGGTCCTTCCCTATTCTAACGGAGCTGGTGGTATTGCTCAACGTAATTTTACACAAACGTATTAGTTTCGTGGGGATACCAGAATCAGACATCGCAGCGTAAGGGCAAATTCTCTTCGGGCTGTCGAAAGCGGCTTTGAAATCGACAAATAGATGGTGTGCGTCGATTCTATTCTCGCGGGTCTTTTCCAAGATTTGGCGTACTGTGAATACCTAATCTATGGTGGATTTTCCAGGCCTAAAGCCACACTGATAAGGTCCAATCAGTTCGTTCAGGGTGGGCTTTAGTCTTTCGCAAAATACACTCGATAAGACCTTATTACCTGTGCTTAGAAGACTGATCTCGCGGTAGTTGGCGCGTATGGCGGGGCGCCTTTATTTTGGATTAGGCAGGGCACACTTAAATTCCAGTCGTCGGGCATGCGTTCATTTGACCATATTCTGCATACGAGCTGATGCCTGAACCTCATCAGCTCCTCGCCGCCGTTCTTGAATAGCTCCGCTGGCAGGCCGTCAGCTTCAGCAGCTTTGTTGTTTTTCAGTCGCGTAATCGCTATTCGTACCTCGTCATAGTCATGCGGTGGGACAGCTACTCCATCATCATCGACTGGGGACTCGGGTTCGTCTTCTTCACTACTTTCAGCGCTGCTACCATTCAGTAGGTTGTAAAAGTGTTCCATCCACAATTTAAGTATATTCTGGACATCGGTCACTGGGTCGCCATTTTTGTTCTTACAGGAGTTCGCCCCGGTCTTGAAACCTTCCATAAGTCGCCTACCTCTCTGGTAGAATTTTCGGGCGTTCTTCCTGTCGGCTAGCATTTCAAGCTCTTCGAATTCACGTATTTCGGCCCCTCTCCTTATTTCGGCAAATACGTCTCGTTTCTTTCTTCAGTTCCCTTTAGGGGTCCTACATGGCTCGCGTTGCGCCCGATCGCATTGTGGCCCTATAGGCGGCGTCTTTTTTCTCTACGGCTTCATGACATTCCTCATCGTACAAGTTGTTCTTTCGGGCTCGCTGAAATCCAACTACTTCTTCGGCGGCGGTACTTAATGATCGGGAAATGTAGTTCCACTGCTCGCGTATGTCGGATTGTTGAAGAGTGCTCTCAGAGAGCAGGTGTGTGAGTTGAGTGGCGAATAAGTGCCGTCTGTTGTGGTTGCAGCTTTTCGACGTTTTGCTTTCCTTGCAGTTCCTTGGTGTTGTTATTATTGCAATTAAAATGTGTACATAAGAGCAGCAAAGTATTTAAACCGGAGTCTTTTAATGTTGACCTGAACTTGTTACATACAAAACCTACTGATAAAAAACATCTTTCGGTCTCAAAGCTTTTAGGCTCAACTGCCAAAAGGTACTCATAAACCATTTGAAGTTAATGACCCCTATCTCCTCCACTACAAACTAGTTGAACTTCTTTTACCGGCAAGTCGGTTAAATTAAAACTTTTTCGATTTGAGTAGATTGATTTAAAAGTTTATGTAACTTTTTCTTAAAACTCTCTGTTTCGTTTACATTAGCGACGCTATGAATACATTAATTTAAATTTTCTTCAAAAAAGGCTCAGACTGCTATTTAAAAGTACAAGTTCAAGCTTTTTTTTAATTGCAGTCAAGACGACATTTTATGTACAAAAATCATACTTCGAAATTCATAAACAAGTTCTTACTATTAATTCGATATTTAAAATTTTTCGGGATCCCGAGATTAAGGCAAGCGCCTTCGGCACCTCAAACACATCCCGGGATTGGCATCCCTACTAAATAGCACTCAAATTATTTATTAAAACAGGTTTAAATATATTTTAAGTGAATACATATGTACATATATACATCGGCGTAGCCAGAATGAAATTTAGGGGGGGGGGGGGCTCGACCCTATTAAGCTGTCATTTCAGGGTACAATTTTATATATATATAAGGAAAATTTGAAAGTTAGGGGGGGTGGCTCGAGCACCACCCCTGCCCCTACCTGGCTACACCCATGCATATATATGTATGTATGTAGTATTAACCCCTTAATGTATGGCAATTCTGCAAATAGTTCATTATTTGGCAGACTTATAATTTTTAATTAAATACCGCTTATTAAAATTTTATATTCTTTTGCAGAACAAAATGGAAACGTCAAACTGCTGTTGGGTTGGAATTACTGGCAGAAGCCGGAAATTACGCGGCTTTTCAGCGTCTCTACGGAAACTCTCCTTATCTTAGCACATGGCCGTATGCAGTGCAGCCAGCTCATGGCACGCCTTCCAGCACCATAGATTTGTTTTTCCGCCAAGCTGCTGCTGCTGCCGTGCTCCAAAAGCCAGTCTCTTATCGAATGTACCCTAACGTACCACCAATAAATGGCTTATCAACACTTCCTGCGCCGCCTTCACCATTTGTACATTTTAGCGCCTCAAATTCACTTAATAACTATTATCATGCAACTACCGTTATGCAGAATCCCTCGAAAATGAATAATATTTCATTGGCAGATATATCCTTTCCACAGCTAAATGCTGATGAGATGGGTTGCAAAAATACCGGCATCGGCGATCTCTCAGTTAGACTACCTTTGGATTCGGGAAATTCTTCGGAACAGGAAAGGAAAGTGAAAGTACCTGAATTAATTGATGACGATAACGACATTGATGAAGATGACATTGAAGTGTGAAGTACTTGAAAAATGCGCACTGAAGCTAGTGCCAAGGCAGTCCGCTTAGGTGTGTGGCAAAAAATTTAGGCAGCCCAGCGAAGCTTCGGCGCAGCTTGAAGTTTAAGGTAAGATGCCGCTCGTGCCTCGTTGAGAACTCATAACGCTATTGTTGGACTGTTGCAGAGTAGACCAGATCATAAGACTTAAAGGTTTGTATAGGAGACCGATTGTGTTGCTTTCAGCTTTATTTATTCAGATATTAAATATTTCAGGATTTCGTATGCTGTTGGTATCTTACTGCTGTCCATGTTTTGGGTGTCGAGTTCACACATACGTACATACATGTGTACATATACTTGTATGAGTATTTTATTTTTTTTTTCAGAATGAAAATCTGACTGATGAGGAATAATAAATTTTGCAAACATTTTATGTATTGGTGTTTTATTTAACATTATGAAATTTCTTAAAGCAGGGTCAGACGATAGGGCGTTTGTCCAAAATTCGGTGTAAGTTGGTTTCCCAAGCTTTGTCCTATTCTTGACCAACAATTTTTTACATTTGTCAATTGACAAAACACATACAAAACATACAGTACCAATCGCGCTAAAAATAATTTCGTCCCATTTTTTATTTTTCTACCGTTAGGGCGCAACAAAAAATTTTACAAATTTTAATAAAATAACCCTTGAAGAAATAGTAAATACATACATTTGTACGTACCCTGCCAGCAATTGGAATAGAATTTAATCGCCTATCGCCAAGATGCCACTAGGGGTCTTCCCTTAAACGCGTAAAAGCCTCGTAAACCTCGTAAAGCTCGTAAATTTACGAGCCTCGTAAAAGAACTGTCAAAATTTGTATGGAGCTCTATTTACGAGCCCCTCGTAAATTTACTGGGCAAATTTGATGCGAAAACGACTTCGTAAACTTCAGTGTTGCCGAGGGGCTGAAATTTTTATTCTAAAATAATGAAAATAAACAAGTAAGAAATACCCGGCGCAAGTATTAAATATATGTTTTTTCACCTTTCCCAAAGCTACCGCTAGATGGTAAGCCGGTGTGTATCAATTTTGAGTAAATTAGCGTCCTTAAATTTCGAAATATTGAAGTTTCAAGCATTTCTGAAATTTGCCTTTATATGAAAAGTGGTCGTAATTTTAAGCTGATTCCAATAATTGCTTCTATGTGGCAAGCACAATAATCATACCGAGTTTGGTACAAATTGGTAGAACGGTTACCGAGATACATATATGTGATCATAAGTGGGCGGTGCCACGCCCATTTTCCAAAATTTTATCATAAACGTATTTCTTGGTAAAGAATTGTTGCAAGCATCAA